AGACATGGGGGTGGTTCTCAGCTAAGTAAGCTCTTTTCTTACATTTTTACTCCTTTGTCTTTTTTTGTCTGCATGTAGTCATCAAAAGCGCTTCAGCTAAGTTGATAAAAGTCAATTGAAAGCTTGTTTCGAAGCTTTTCTCTGAAGCTCGTCGCAATTTGTTTTCTAATTTAACGCAATTTCCGCCCATTTTACTTGCTCTAGCGGCTGAGTTGAGCCTGCTAGATAAAGGATAGGGTTTTTTAGATCAGTCAGCTAAAAGCATTGTGGAGCTATCCCAATCTTGATTACTTTAGTCTTGTACACACCAGATCTCGTACTTATCCCGGTTCATTTAAAGTTAAGGTAAGTCTTCCCACTAGCTATTTTAACCGCAAGCTTGGGTAGACGCCACCCAGTTTGCTATCGCCGTAATCGCATCATCCTATCGTTTTCGTAAGCAAAAAGTCCTTGCATATTGTCGTTTTGACGTATGCTCTTCTTTTTTCCGTTCTTATCGGACAACCATACGTCATTCGTCGAACACATTCGCCTGACATATGGTTGTTGGATAAAATTTATGTGCATGTTTAGCGGACTTCATAAATACCCTCGGAATCATGCACGTTCTTTGCTAATGCAAACATTTTTTGGAAAATATGTTAAAAGTAAAGTGAACTTCTCCAACCTTAAGCTGTTTCGACGATCGGTCGCACATCATCTGGTTGTGTGTCGCCGGATGGTGTATTTTTGTAGAATTGGTGCATTCGCCATTTTCGTATCATATGTCGTACACATGATTTCACAGTGATGACGAAGAAGAACAGAATCAGTGCAACAGCGGTACCTATACCAACCCATGGATCGTAATTGCGGTAGAAGTCCTTCTCTGTACGGGGCGGATTGACCTGAATCACCCAAACTTTAGTAATCTTCAAGATGCGAAAGCTTAGTAGTAGTTGCCTGAGGAGTGCTAGAGGAAAAATGTTGACATAATTTTTTGTTTATTTAACATCTGTAATTTATATATCTGAATTCATTTATCTCCATATAACACGCACGAAGAACTTGTCACAAATTTTTGATAATTCTATCGGCGCTGTTTTTAGCTCAGATATTTTTTTAAAACCCTACGCGAAGAATTTTGCAGTTTTGAATCCTGAATGTAATACAATTGACGGGAAATAAGCATGCTCATGGCATATTACCCTTCGTAAGGGAAAAAGCCCCTCTTTTAGTGGTTGTGAAGTCAGAACTCTCAGCCAAAATTTGGGACCATGCGAGCTCTCATGTGTTTTTCGGTATAGTGTTCTGAAGTAAAGTAAGTCTTTTAACTTCTTTTTTTCTAAAATGGTTTTCAGAC